CAGATGAGTGTCATATTAAGACCATTGATCAGGAATTCGATGCAGAGTTATCAGACTTTAGCAACACAAATGACTCGCATGGTAATTTCCTCGGCGCCCTAAAAGTGCTAGTTCGACAAGCTACACCGCCCCACGTGAGGAACCAGTGTCGTATAAAGAGGTGGTCGATGAAACAGCTAGGCAAGAACCACTGATTACTCAGCATGTTAATTTGATACATAGGGTGTTCCAACAACCCTCAGTAGTAATAGCGAATCGAAACCAGAATGCCGACCAAATGGTCAGGCATGTTCGACGAGAAGCAGTGGCTGGGGAACAGAACCTAGAAGCCATTGTCAAATGAATTTTGGTGAGTAATGGAATGAACACTGGCTATCAGAGGACCATATATGCCTCACCACTTCCAGATTTTGTTTTGCAAATGGATTTACCAAAGGGTTGGAAACTCCCAAAGTTCACCAAGTTCTCAAGGTACGTTGAAGAGTCCACTGTCAAACATGTTGCCAGGTACCAAACTGAGCTTGGAGACTTAGTAGTTAATGAGGATTTGAGGATGAAGTATTTTCCCAATTCCCTTACAAAGAATACGTTTACTTGGTTTATAACGCTTCCCCCACAGTCGGTCCAAACGTGGATTCAGTTGGAGAAATTGTTCCATGAATAATTTCACATGGGGAAATTTAAAATAAGCCTAACAGAATTGTCCAGTGTCAAACGAAAGAGCACTAAGTTGATAGACTAATACCTTAACAAGTTTAAACTTCTGAAAGCATGATGCTTTACACAAGTCCCTGAACACAAGTTGGTCAAAATGGATGCAAATGGATTGGAGTATTCTATTAGAAATAAATTGCTATATACTCAATCCTTGAAGGATATGGCTCAGTTAGCTATCAAAGTTTGACTTTTGTAACATTTAAAAGCTGAGAAAACCAAACCCAATAAACACCACAAGAAAGGAAAGGTTGCTTACGCAACCATTGATGAATATTTTCCTCACGAAGAAGAGTCAGGGGAAGAAACAGAGGTTAATATGGCTGAACTCCATCCCGGACCTCCTTATGCGTGTAAGCTATTGAAACCTTCGAACGGGAAAAACCTTGTCGAAACGGAAAAGAATGGCAAAGCCATCACCAAAACTTACACTTTTGACATAACTAAGTGTGATGAAATTTTTTATTTGTTAGTAGCTAATGGTAAAATTATGGTCCCTCAGGGACTGAAGAATCCCCCATTTAAACAAAAGAAGAAAAGAGGATTCTGCAAATTTCATAATTTTCTTGGTCATAAAACTTCTCAATGTGTTCTTTTTAGGGATTTGGTGTAGAACGCTTTGAAAGAAGGTGTGATACGGTGGCAGAACCGACTGTTTGATACTGGTTTGCATTTTGCGTTTTTTGTTTGCAAAATGTCGCGGTAAGCAAGAGTCGCCACCGACTTTTATTTTATCCAATCTTGGAAAGGAAAAAAGTACAGAAAAAATCCTTTTTCAGGATATTTTGAGTACGGGGGGGGGGGGGGGGGGGGGGGGGGGGGTAGATTATAGAAAGGGAAGGTGTTAACACCCTTTCTATCCATGGTTTTCCATGGGCTCTTAGGTACTTGCTCATCTTTTTAAAAATTGCTTGTGTATGTGCTTTGTTTTTGAAAAGTTTGACTTCGTGATAACCCTTGTACCAGTCCTCAAAGGTGTGACGAAGTTGTTTTTGAAAATTTGTTTGAAAAGTGTAAGTGTGAAAATTTTTGATTTGAGCAAGTAGCTACTAGCATCTACCTACTCGAAAAAAGATTGTTTCTATTCTCGTTTCCTTTAGACAGCGTTATCCTACTATTGAGAAATAGGTAGCACCGTCGTTGGAGTTTGTAAGGGTCAATTTGAAAGGGACGTACGATCACTAAAGCAATGTTAGGACATCTTAGTAATAACCCTAGAGTCTTAAGATCATATTCGAGGCAACATTTCCGAGGCAACATTCGAATGGGACGTTTGATCTTTTTTACACAGGAGGGCAACCACTAAGATACCCTATGCTCAATGATCGTTTACCGAAGGCAACCGAAGTGAGAGTATACCCTAAGAGTGATATGTGCGAGTGATTTGTTTTCAGTTATTTATCTTTGCACATTAGGGTTTTCTAACCGTATTAATTTGTCATGCATTCTTGTCATACAATCCTATTAGCATACACCTAGACAGTTAAATATTTGCGGGAATTAAAAATGCGAGAAAATAAATCTACGCTATTACAAGGCTTTGGGGAGGGGGATTAATTACATAGCCAAAAAAAATCGTGGAAAAAGCGATAAGTAAAAGCCCTAAATTAAACTATTACAAACCATGAACAATTACAAAAATATTGGCAAAATAATTAACAAGCGCGCGAGGAATTAAATACAAGGCGATTAGGGTTTTGACCCTTGACTAAACCTAAATGCGATTGATTAAAAAAATGTTTTGTCATTTTTTGTTATTTAAGAAAATAATGAAAAATTAAAAGAAAATCCTAAGTTCTAGTTAATTTTAAATTAAGAAAAATAAATTAATTCACTCTAAAACCTATTTTTTGTATTTTATTTATTTGAGAAAAAAATAAAATAATTAAATCAAGAATTTAACCTAATTTCTATTTGCTTTTATTTATGAAAATAAATTAAAATTTCCCTAAGTTAAACTAAATTAAATTAAATTTGATTATAAAAAAAACTAATGCTAATTTTTTTGTGAATTTTTGATTTTATGATTTTATAAAAATAAAAGATTAACTTGTTGATTAAAATGATTACAAGAAAAATTAAAAGAATTAAAGAAAAGAAATAAGAGATGGGCCTGATTGCTAGCAATTATGGGGGTATATTGTTGAAATTCTGGGCCCAAATAATCCAAGCGTGTTTGACCATGCCTGGATCTGGTGTGGCTGTTGACTTGAGGAACATGATGGACCTTCAATGGGGAGGCATTGGATCTGGCTAACTAATAGATTTGATGGCTGGATATTGAACGCATATGGTGGGCGCTTGAGGCTGTAGTGTACCTGATCACATGAAGCAAAATAATACAAACAAAGGTTGGGACCTGGGGATCGAACCCAGGTCCTCATGCTCGCTCCCAGTACCTTCTTGCCATCTGCGCTGCTTTGTTTGTTTGTACATATAATAGAAACAATTAATATAATCAAGTCACGTGATGTATTTAGAAAAAATGCGGGAAAATTTAAATGGACAAATCCCACGTTGCCACGCCTCATCTTCTTCCTCTCTCAGTCGCTTTAGAAAATCAGACTTTTACCTACAGACGTTGCTGTAGGTATAACCCTGTCCATCTCCAAAATTGCACATGCTCAAGATAAATGACAATGGCTGGTAACAATCAACTCGTCTCATCCTCACGAGCATCATGGTACCAGAATCAACGTCCAATTTTTCCTGCATTGAAAACCCCCAAACAAGAACACAAAACCCTAACTATGGCAATATCACGTACATGCATAAAAAATGCAATTAAATGGAATGATTAACTTGCAAACACGATGATAAACATGAGTATAATAATCAAAAGTGCTAAAGATGCGTGAACTAGTGAAATCAGAATCAAGTTTTTGGGCAAACCGTGGGAGGTGTAGAGCATGATTCTGGGCGTTTCAAGACCTGGGAGTGATTGGAATAGCTTCCTGGGATGTCTGGGAAGGGATTGGTGCTCTTGAAATGCTTTGAAACTCCTTGTAGATTGAAAACCGATTCCCACTTTTTCTTGAATTTTTCAGTTTTATTCTTGGCTATGCACGACCTAAAAACCCTCTTTTTTTGCTTCGGTTTTGTTCATTATATATCCCTCAATGAATTAGGGTTGCAAAACAGATCCAATCTTTAAGCTTTGATGATATTTGATTTGATTCTTTAGCCATATGATATCATTCTATTTTCATGCCAATCATGCTCTTTTTGTACCAATTACCATTGATTCGAATTGATCTTGCAAGCTCATCATATCTTGGTTGCTAACCTGTCAAAAAAATAAATCAAATCATATCTTTGATAATTTTCATCATTTATTTGACTTAATTCACTTTTTAATTAATTAAAAATCAAAATAAATTGAAAAATGAAGCAAATAATTGGTGGATAAGTATTTGAGTCGTGGACCACATTATAATTGAGGTGCAAGCATAAAAAGTTGGGCCCATTTAGCAAAAAATGCAAATTTGAGCACATTTGACTTTTGGCAATTTTGCAAAAATGGTCAAATTGGCCAATGACTCTCTCAATTTTGACCCTAGAGAGGTGTTCTTGGAATTTTTAGAAAGCTTAGGATGTCCTCTAAGCAACCCTTTTTGTCTCATCTCAATTGAGTCTTCCATGTTCATGTATGAAGCTTTGACCCAAAAGGTGTTTTTGTTGACTTTTCAAAAGGATCTATAATGTCAAAATTAATATCTTTTTGTGAGTGCATATTCTAAACTTGGGAGCTGAAGGTGAATTGTAGGGAATTGTATCCTCTTCAAAATGAGCTTTGGATAGGTCATTTCTGATAAAGCATGAGAAAGTTATGCTTGGTCAAAGTTGAGTTGACTTTTCCTACAAAACCCTAATTTAGCAACTTTTGGGTTTTGATGAATTGTGAGCAATCCTTGAGGAATCATGATCAACCCTTCAAAATGAGGATGTTGACCAAAAATCTTGAAGTTTGACTGTATGTGGGCCACAGTTGACTTTTGACCTAGCACAATTGATTTTCAGGTATTTGAGCAATTGACTGAGCAAACTTCCTCTGCAAGGCTTGAAACTTGACATGGATGATCTTGAGAACATATTAGGACAATGGTGAGAATTTGAGTCCTTTGTGGTCTACACATCTTGATGAAAATGGAACCCTAATTTGAGATAGACTGCCTTAGAAGGGAGTTTGTCTGGTCAACTCTTGAACTTCCTTGAGCAATTTGGGGACCTCACTTGCCATGTGTTGAGAAATATGGGAGGGAAAATTTTGGGGTACAACAGAAGGCATGCTTCAATTTGGTAAAAAGCCAAAGATGCAGGTCGACACTGATCCTTTGAAGGTGGATGAGGCTTTATATTCAAAGCCTCTGGATTGTATGATGGTCGAAGCTACTGAGGGTCTCGACAAAGAAGTCATAATTATTGGTGACATAAAAGGTATGATGGTTGGAACTAATGTAAGTTTAGATATAAAGATGGAAGAGAGATTGCTGGCAGTGTACCCTCAACCTTAAGAGAGCTTGGCTGACTTTCAAGAAAAATGGAGAGTGAAAGGATTTAGGGCCAAATTATGCCCAAGATGCAACACTGCGTATGATGAAGAAGCGGCTGAGATATATGAAGTTTTCAAAAAAGAGGCTCTCAGGCAAGAAAATCCTTCAGTTCTAAGGTTTGTTTTCGACCAAGAAGGAACTCCTCGATGCAATAAAGAGTACAAAAGATTGTTCCAACAACCTTGTCCGAAAACCTTTCGCCCTCTGTCGGACACCCCACAAGAAAAATAGGTGGAACCGGTGAGCCAAAAAGGGGGAAAGGTCGAAGTAGAAGGTGATTGTGCATGAAGCTGAGGCCCATGGAAAGAAGGCTGATTCGAAGGGTTATCAAGTTTCTCCTAAGTATAAGGAGAAAAATCCAATGACAAAGATTCAGTGGAGGCATTATCAGAGGAATAAGAAAGCTGCAAAGGAGTCCACGATTTCTCAGTCGAAACTTGTCATAGCTGCTAGGTGTGTCGAAAGAACGCAACCAGTGGAGGTTGTAAAACTTGGTGAAGCTGCAGTTCAAAAAGAATTTTACCCAAGGTCAAGGTTGACTGAAAAGGAAAGGATCACAGCAAACCAAATTCTAGCTATGAAGGTATCTCCTTTAGGTAACAAAGAGATGGTGATAACATAAAATGTTGGATATACTCATACACCTGAGTATACTCCTACATATGAGGGTGAAGAGGAAGAAGATCCTGATTACGAATCTTTGCCAGAAGATGATATGGTGGATGACGATTATGGTGAAGACTTCATCATTGATTGTGCAATTATGTCGATCCTGCCTGCAAAATATGACAGAGTGTCAGAGGTATCATAAAACGAAGAAGACTTCACCTCGGACGAGGCGGCTGATGAAAAGCCTTTGTGCTACTATGTTATGAATAATGGTGCTGTCGAAGAACAAAAGGTCGTGTTTGAGAAACCAAGCCCAAGGATGTTGTATCATCTTAAGCCTTTATTTATAAGGACAAGTGTAGATGGTATATCGGTGAACAAAGTGTTTGTTGATGGTGGGGAAGCTGTGAACTTAAAGCTGAAACAACCGGCTGAAAATCATCAGACAATGAATTTGCCATCGAACGTCTTTTATCCCACATCAAGGGAAAGGTAAACATCGATAAAACTTTAGAAGGGAGAAGTAACGGTCTTGCAACCGAGAGATCGGGTAACGGAGTCTGTTACACAAGGGGAAGGTATTAGCACCCTACATGTCCATAGTACTCTATGGTATCCACTCTTGTTATCTATCTTATGATCGTGTTTAATCTATGCTTACTGTACTACTCAGGAAGAATGCATGCAAAAGAAAAGAGAAAATAATGTAGGGAAAATAAAGTTGTGCTCGCTTGGGCCCTACCGTAATACCTATGTATCCTTTTTGAGGAATCAGAGTTACCGTAGTTTAGCTCACATGTTTTTGTTTGTTTTATGTTTTTTATGAACAATGTTAATTCTGCCTTCTGCCGCAGCTCGACCTTTGGAGACTCATGCGTTGGCACATAAGTAAATTAACATGTCCTTACCTGAAAATGGTTTTGAGTTACACCCTCAAGGAAAGATACCATTTTTGATTAATTTATGTTTTGTTACCTTGAAAAAGGGTTTAAGTGTGATTAGCATGTTTTATGATTTGCCAAGAAAAGAAAGTTTTAATTTTACATGCAAATGCAAAAAGGGGAAGAAAAGAGTCTACAGGAGACTAGCCTATTTCTAATGCTAATGTTATCATACAATGGTATTCCTAAGGTTTGGATTAACATAAGGGAAACATCTACCTAACATTACCATGCATGGTTCGCAACCTAAGGTCTAACTTGCATCCGAAAGGAACAAGCACATACTAAGGGAACATGGTATGTACAAGGATAAAAAACAAGCAAGCTCGAAGGAGCACACACATGAAATGGTAAAGGAAAGAAGCTAAATGCTTTAGTCAATGGGAGTGAATCACCCGAGACAAATAAGCGTGAGTGAAATATATAAAAAAAGAGAAATGCTTTAGCTAAGGGGAGCAGATCACTCGAAGCAAACAAGCAGGAATAGGATGTAAAACAAAAATGTGATGTCCAAAGCAATTGAACACCTAACCAAGATATAGAAGATCGAGGTAGGCGACAGAAGGAAATATGAACAATCACGGAGTGTCAGCATCAGCCAAAGCAAACTCCTGAAAAAGTGTGGGGGTTTGATTACGAAACCCTTTCGCACTTGATGACTCGATAACAAGAGTAGGCACAACTCTGAAACACCATGGTGCATCACGAGCTAAGGATGACATGAACGAAATTGCGGGGGTTGATTGCTAACCCTTTCCACTCACCTCTATTTGAGGACTTATCATCTGTAATATATGTGGGCACAAATATAAACACACCCGTAAAATACCTACTTAAAAGGTAGGGTTTTAAACAAGCACAAAATAGCATATAGTGGCACATAATACGGAATTACCCTAAATAGGTCTTTAAATAAACCAGAGGGATTCCTGATACGATCAGAAACGAAGATCCCCTTCATACATATCTAGTCCTACTTCTCATGGCAAGGAAAGCAGTAAAGAAATGCAATAAAATGCAGAGAAATGTAAAAGTCGTAGCGGTGACTACCAAAAGCACGTGAATCGTTGAAAGCAGACGAAAGCAATGGAGAAGCAGGGAGTACGCATCGAGCAAGCTTCACCAAGAAAGAAACAAAGTCAGAAATGATATTCAACTAAGATAAAATCAAACACATGCTGTGAATGCAACGCTTAATCAGAAGTTCCTGCACAAAGCATCACAAAATATCACATGCATCTAGACAACATATAATATGATATGAATTTCTCAAGATGATGAGAAATAAGGCGTTTCGCATCAGAAGAGAGTATAATCCATATGCTTCGATCACATAACAACTTGTTCTGTTATATGATCGAAAGCACCAAAAATGTACCTTGCACAATGAACAAACGCGTCAAAAATAGCGATGCACAACAATATGAAAATATGGATAAAAACTAAAAGAAAAAGTTTTTTTATTAGTTTTTTTATGTGAGGAAAATTCTATCAAAACTAGAGAATTTATTCCTAGAATCAACCAAGAATTTTTAACAAATTTTATTGATTTTTTACAATTTTATCATAACAAAAATATAGAAAAAATAAAAATAAAATCCTAAAACAATTATAAAGATTCAGGGGGTGAAAGTTGAAACCCAGAGGATTTTGCAGAAGCAGTGCGCTAGGCCCATCAGAGTGAGGTCCATGAAGTTGTTGTTGTTCAGCATTACAATTGTGCCAAAAAACATGGTGTAAATGGGCCCGATGAATTGCGCTCGAAGCAAAGCCTAGGAGAAAATCATTCAGCCCAACCAACATCACCAATCCAACTCCATTTTAAATTTCAGTTTTATCGTTTTATTATTAACAATAAAAAAGAAAATAAATAAAAGCAAAAGGTTGAAACTCATGCGTTTTACAACTTGTATTAGGTTTAGAAGTGCGACTTTCGGACTTCCACGAGTAAATGCGTTCCTCTTCTCAAATCAATAGTGCCACAAACTGTTTTTCTTCTCCGATCGAATATCACATAGAGCCGTCGTCTCACGAATCAGCGCCTCTCCCTCACGCTGATCTTCACCAACTCACCTTTTCTCTGATCGATTCGTCTACTTCTCATCCTCTCAGTTTCGGTTCCATTCCGTTCTCAATCGTGATATCAATGTTATTTGCTTCTTCTTTCTCGCGCTTCAGTTTGCTCAGTACTTTAACAAATCACGGTCGCCAATGCTCATCACTACCACATACTCTCTTCAATTTCGGTTTAGAGTGTTCTGATTTGATCGATTTCAACACAAAAAAACATATACAATTCGAAAACTTAAGATAGGCTATAAAGAAAGGAAGATCACTTACCTACCGGAGAACTCTGGTGGCTCTTCGATGGTGATGAATACGCAAGAAATCTGGAAAGCCTTGACATTGAATCCAGGTAAACAAACTTCAACTCTCAAAGCATTGTTCGTAGATCTTTTTTCTTCCTCTTTTCTTTCTTCAGTACACGATTGTTGTTATGGTTATGTGGAGCAGATGTATTGTGCATATATGATGACCAAAAATTGAATTATGATGTTGTTGTTGCAGTGTTGATAATGATAAAGAAGGTGTGGTTGTTGATGAAGCCTCAGGAAGAACCCATGATGGTGATTGAAGATGATATCCGAAGATGATAAAGGTTGAAGTGTGGAGTAGTTATATTGAAATGATAAAGGTGGTGATGTAGGTTCCAAGAATATGAAGGTGAAGCTCGAATTCAGAGAGAAAGATTGAAGAGGGATAATGAAGATTTAAGGTGAGATTTTTCTGTGAGTTTTCTGTGTGATGAATAATTCTATCTGTGAAAATAGTGATTGTGAATGGTGAAATTTTGTGAATAATAATCGTATCTCTTTTTCTTCTGAAAAATGATTCTCTCCCTGTTGCAGAAGTATCCCTTTGTGTTATATCAATTAGAATCGGTTATCACATCTCTGAATCTGAGCCATTAAGTTTTCAGTTTGTTATGGAATCGTAGGGCCAGGACTGATTCAGATGAAAGTTAGTTATCAGCTTCCCAATTCTATTATGATCTATTAGAGATTAAAAAAGTTTGTTATTCTGTTAATAATTTTTTATGGTTAAGATTTCTTAGAGGTTGTCCTTCTATTTTTGTCAATTGATGTTGAGCTATTTTTTCGGATTTTCTGTTAGATGCTGTTAGTTTTTTATTCTGTTAAGCTGAGCTGACATAATCGATTAGGACGGTTGAAGAGTTGGTTAGTTAGTTTGAACAATTCTGTTATCTTTCTGGTTTATGCAGGTAGACAGGAGGTACAACAGGGTAGCAGATTTGTGGTGCATAAGTGTAGTGTTTTGGAGTTAGTCAAATTGGACAATAAGGCGTAATCATATGTGGGCAAGTTTTGGTTTGAATATTGAATATTAGGCTTAAGAAATCTCACGTGATCTTGTAGTATTATAGAACCTTGATTTGAATGAAATTTTCTTTCTATTTCTTTGTAATTGTATGAATCTTGAATGAATAAAAAAATCACTTTGAATGAAACTTGAAAACCCCACTTGACAATATTTTTTATCCATGAAAGCTTGAATGATTATTTTTCCTTTTGTTGAATCTCCATGTAATTTGTAGTTCAAATAATCAAAACAAAAACTTGAACCTTGGCTTTAACTTTTGGCTTTTTATGTCTTGCAAAGTGACTTGTAAAAAAACATTGAATGGACTTGAATTTTGTTGAAACTTGAATGACGACCTTGGGAACTTGCTCATATTGAAATGATCTTGAACACTTGAATTCAGAAATTTGAATGAATGATGATGAGTTAAGTGAATCATGAGTGAAACTTGAACTAAACTTTGAATAAGTGTTGTAATCTTTCTATTTGTTTCCAAAAGAATAAGTCTTCAATTCCAAATTTCAACAACAAATTCAAATCACCTTGGACAAACTTCAACATTCTCAAAATCAAAATCATCTTGAAATTGAAGTAACAAGCATAAGAGATAATGATAATTCCTTGATCACAAAATGAGTTTATAATCAACATATATTCTATCATGAATCGAACTTTGGTAACTCGAACCACGAGCCCTTTATCTTTGACAAATTCTTCCTTCACTTGATAACTTTAATCACAAAACAAAGCATCTGAAGAATCCTTGTAAGAAGATGATTGAGACTTGCAACATAGAAGAATTTCCTTGAGACAAAAACCCTAACAATAATCTTCACACTGAGGAATGTTAACAAGATCAAACATGAATGAGGAACCCCAATCCAATCGCATTAGGTGCACAAAGATGAAGAAATTATCTTGATGAGAAAAGAAATCCCCATACAACCCTAGTCCTCTAAAACCCTAATTCATTAACCTTGGGTAGAGAAATAAACCCTAATTGTGATATGGTGGCAGAACCGACTGTTAATACTGGTTTGCGTTTTGCGTTTTGTGTTCATAAAATGTCGCGGTAAGCAAGAGTCACCACCGAATTTTATTTTATCCAATCAAGAAAAGGAAAAAGAACAGAAAAATACTTTTTCAAGATGTTTCTGAGTACGAGGGGTAAATTTTAGAAAGGGAAGGTGTTAGCACCCTTTCTATCCATGGTTTTCCATGGTTTCTTAGGTACTTGCTCATTTTTAAAATTGCTTGTGTGCGTGCTTTGTTTTTTTGAAAAATGTTTTACTTCGTGATAACCCTTGTATCAATCCTCAAAGGTGTGACGAAGTTTATTTTGAAAGTTTGTTTGAAAAGTGTAAGTGTGGAAAGTTTTGATTTGAGCAAGTACCTATTAGCATCTACCTTCTCGAAAAAAGATTGTTTCTATTCTTGTTTCCTTTAGATAGCGCTATCCTACTATTGAGAAATAGGTAGCACCGTCGTTGGAGTTTTAAGGGTCAATTCAAAAGGGACGTACAATCACTGAGGTAATATTAGGACATCTTAGTAATAACCCTAGAGTCTTAAGATCATATTCGAGGCAACACTTCCGAGGCAACATTTCCGAGACAACATTCGAATGGGACATTTGATCTTTATTAGACAGGAGGGCAACTACTAAGACACCCTAGAATTAATGATCGTTTAACGAAGGCAACCGCAGTGGGAGTATACCCTAAGAGTGATATGTGCGAGTGATTTGTTTTCAATCATTTAATCTTTGCATATTAGGGTTTTCTAACTTGATTAATTTGTCATGCATTCTTGCCATACAATCCTATTAACATACATCTAGACAGTTAAGTATTTGCAGAAATTAAGATGCGAGAAAGTAAATCTACGCTATTACAAGGCTTCGGGGAGGGGGATTAATTACATAGCCAAAAACCCGAGAATTAAAACGGTAAATAAAACCCTAAGTTAAACTATTACAAACTATGAACAGTTACAAAAATATTGTCAAAATAAATAATAAGCGCGCGACGAATTAAATGCGAGACGATTAGGGTTTTGACCCCTGACAAAACCTATTGACGATTGGTTAAAAAAAGATGTTTTTTGTCATGTTTTAAGAAAATAATGAAATAGTTATATTAAAAGAAAATCCTAAGTTCTAATTAATTTTAAATTAAGAAAAATGAATTAATTTGTCTAAAAGCCTATTTTTTGGTATTTTTATTTATTTGAGAAAAATAGAAAAATAAAATTAAAGGAAAAGTTTAACCTAAGTTCTATTTGATTTTATTTTTGAAAACAAATTATAATTTCCTAAATTAAACTAATTTAAATTAATTTTATAAATAAAAAAAACTAATCCTAATTTTGTGAATTATTGATTTTATGGTATTTTGTGAAAAAAATAAATTAATTTGTGAATTAAAGAAAATAAAAATAAATAATGAAAGATTTAAAAAATTAAGAGAAAAAAGAAATAGATATGGGCCTGTAATAGCAATTATGGGAGGTGTGTTGTGGAATTCTGAGCCCAAAAGAATCCAGACCCATTTGACTTTGCATGATCCAGTATTGCTGTTGACTTGAGGCACACGGTGGTCCTCCAATGGTGGTATGTTGATCTGAGACGCTGATGAATTGGATGGGCAGATCTTAATGGTGTATGGTGAACTTCCTGACTTGCTATGCGTTGGGTCACCTATTGAAGAAAAATGTGAATTAAAGGTTGGGACCTTGGAATTGAACCCAGGTCCTCTACACTTTCCCTATGCATGCTTACCAACTGAGCTAATTGTTTTGTTTGAATATATAATGGAAATCAGTTATAATATAATAAAAACAAAACGCTGAAAGTAAAAACGCGCCAAATTCAAATCACCCAACCAGGGGATGACACGCATCATCGTCTTCCTCCCAACCCGTCATTTTATGTAGCCAACTTTTACCTACAAACACTTACTGTAGGTATATCCCTGTGTATTTCAAAAACTCTTCACAAGCAATATAAATGGTCATGGCTGGTACCAATCAACTCGTCTCATCCTCACGAGTCTCATGGTACCAGAATCAACGCCCAATTTTGCCTATCCTGCAAAGCCCTAATCAAGAATACACAACCCTAGTTATGGCAACATCCTATACAGGCATTAGAAATGCAATTAAATGGTACCAATCGTTTGCAAACTTAATGACAAACACGAATATATAATCAAAATATGCATAGGATGAGTAAATTAATGAAACCGAATTTGAATTTGTAGGCAAATCATGATACCTATATCTTACAGTTCTAAGCGGGAGAGGGCTTGCAAATGGTTGGAATTCCTTTTGGAGATGTCCAAGAACCTGTTGGTGTCGTGAGAATGGTACGAATTGGCCTCTAATATGAAAATTGGATCGCCACTTTTCTTGAAATTTTTTGAGTTTTGTTTCACCTCTGCATGACTGCTTCCAACCTTCTTATGCCTTGGTCTCCTTCTGTATATGTAATACAAACTATTAGGTCAACAAAAACGACCTCAATCTTGCTCATCATGGAGATTTGATTTGATCTTTCATAGCATATGATTCCTTTCCAAATTTGTTCAAATCCAATCTTTTTCCAACCAAATTGACCTTGCACGAGTTGATCTTCAATTTACAGCATATAAGATCTTCTTTCAATGCAAAAAATCATCCCTAAAATATAATATATGATTTATTAGGATTTATTTGATTTTATTTGAATTTTAAATGAATAAAAATCAAAATAAATTAAATAAATGAATAAATAAAGCATGGAGGGTCCCATCGACCGTGGACTATGTTAGGAATGAGATGCAAGCATAAAAAGTTGTACCCATTTAGCAAAAGATGCAAATTTGAGCATATTTGACTTTTGGCAATTTTACAAAAAAGGTCAACTTGGCCAATGCATAACTCTCTCAATTTTGACCCTAGAGAGGTGTTCTTGGACTTTTTAAAAATATTATGATGTCCTATAAACAATCCTTTTGGTCTCATCTCAATTGAGTCTTCCATGTTCATGTATGGAGCTTTGACCCAAAAGGTGTTCTTGTTGACTTTTCAAAATGACCTATAATGTCAAAATTCATATCTTCTTGTGAGTAGATATTTTGAACTTGGGAGATGAATATGAATTGTAGGTAATTGCATCCTCTTCAAAATGAGCTTTGGATGGGTGATTTATGATAAAGTTATGCTTGGTCAAAGTTGAGTTGACTTTTCCTACAAAACCCTAATTTAGCAACTTTTAGGTTTTGATGAATTATGAGCAATCCTTGATGAATCATGATCAACCATTTATCAAATGATGAATGATACTTCAAAATGAGGATCTTGACCAAAAATCTTGAAGTTTGACTGTATGTGGGCCACAATTGACTTTTGGCCTAGCATAGTCGATTTTTAGGCCTTTGAGCAATTGATTGAGCAAACTTCTTCTGCAAGGCTTGAAACTTAACATGGATAATCTTGAGAACATTTTAGGACAATGGTGAGCATTTGGGATCCTTTGGACTCAAACATCTTGATGCAAAATGAAACCCTAATTTGAGGTAGACTATATCAGGAGAGAGTTTGTCTGGTCAACCCTTGGACTTCCTTGAGCCATTTGAGGACCTCACTTGACATGTATTTGAGTAATATGGGAGGGAAAATTTTGGGGTACAACAGCTGCCTCTGTTCAATCTTCTTAGACCTGAGGATGTAGATTGGCGTGTCTGCCTTTCATGGTCTGAAGGTGGAAGATGATTGGACACTAGAGTACCCAAAAATTTGTTTTTGCATGAAGTGATACTTGACTTATGCTTATTGGGAATGCGCTTATAGATGCCATTTGGTAGTTGCTAGAGAATTGTCGGAGATGGGATTAAAGATGCCATCCGAAGAAGTGTCGATCGCATAATTACTCTACTGGGGAATAATTCCCGTTTGGGAAATGGAAATAAACCGCGTGTTTGGTCAGGGTACATGCTGCACTGCGACTT